GGGCTGGGGTGGCTCAGGGGTAGAGCCCCTGCCTAGACTCCCCCAGTGAGGGCTGGGGTGGCTCGGGGGCAGATCTCTTGCTTAGTATGCATGAGTCTCTAGGTGCAATCTTCAGCATATAAAAGAATGGGGGGGAAGGAGGGGTTTCTAAGTTTCTGATATTCCTTGTTCTAAATTCCATTCTCTAACACTAAGCACAACACCAATTACAATAACATCCAAGAACGGCGCATTTGCTCTGTGCCAGAAACTTGCAAACAGCAGCTGGCACGTTCTCCTGAGCCCTGCCCCATGCGGTGAGGACACTCTCTTGTTATGGAACAGCAACTCTGTGCTCGGCACTGCTGAAGACTTCTCAGACCGCAGACCGCGGCAGCTCCCCTGTGAGAAGATCGAGCCCATTTTACAGGAGAGAAAGTCGGGGCTGGGAGAAGCTTGGGAGGGGCAGAAGCGGGGTGAGGGCTCCGCTGTCACCCTCAGAGCCTCACGTGGGGCGTGTGGATTTGTCTAGGTTCTTTGTTATTTGCTCTGTGGCGTAGAGGTTTCTGTGTGCTGGTGACGGTACTGGGCTTGAGTCTGCAGACCTCACACCACACTTGTCACCTCTCTCCTTGCCTGTTAGTGTGCATGTGTGTGCGTGTGTGTGTGCGCGTGTGTGCCTGTATGCAACCCTGGCAGGGCCTGCGCACACGCCTGTCCGCAGGTTCGCACTGTGGAGGCCCCGCAGCCCACTGCCCTGCTCCACCGCTTCCATCCTGTTCCTCTGAGGCAGGGTCTCTCCCTGAATCTACAGTGAGGCTGGGGGCCAGCAAGTCCCGGGCATCCCCCTGCCTCTGCCAGCCCCAGCACTGACCTTAACGGTAGGCTACGTCAGAGGGGAAGCTGAGACCCTGCCGCGCCACCCTCAGCCGGCCAGGCCCTGCCCAGGAACGCCCTGCCCCCGACTCTGACAAGCACCCCAGTCACCGGGCGGGGCCCCGCATGCAGGGGCGACTCAGAGAAAGTGGGTGATCCCTGTGACCACTCACAGCAGGCCCCAGCTCCACAGCCGCCACCTCGGGACCCCACGTCTTTGCTGTGTGACCCCGGTTTAGCTGTCTTCCATCTCTGGGTGCTGTGTGGCCCTGGCTAGCCTGGGCTCACTCTGTGGCCTGGAACCCACAGAGCTCCACCTGCCTCTGCCTCCCGAGGGCTGGATTGGAGGCGTGTGTCACCACCTGACTTAACCTCCGTTTTATCATAAAGAAAAAGGGTGACGCGGTGACAAAGAATGGCCTGGAACTGGACAGACTGACATTTTAATCCTGCTGCCAGGCTCCAGATAACTCAACCTCCCTCTCTGGGTTTCATCCCGTCCCTTGTCAGCTAGGGCTGAAGCCTCCGGAGCGCCAGGCTCGGCAGACAGTGATACTGCTGTGCTTCAGGCTCAGGAGGCCCCGCAGGCCCCGGGAGCGTGGGAGAGTTTCAGGGGAGCAACCCCAACAGGTCAGACCAGAAGAGCGAGCAGCGAGCATCGGGAGGGAGTCGGCCCCTGCTCAGGCCTGCCTGGGTTTGGGCTGCTGACCTGAGCCTGGCCCTGGCTTGTTTCAGGCTTGTTTGGTTGGCTTGCATATTTATTTGGTCGACTGGCTGGGATGGGTCTCTGGTCCTCTCAGGCCGCACAGGCTGTGAAACTCAGGTCCACTCCCCTTGGGAAAGGCTTTCCGAGCCGTCAGGGAAGGGGGACCCACGTGCAACCCTGTCCATTACACTCCACTGCTCCCCACCCTGGACTTCCAAACACACTCCCGAAGTGAGTTGGGAGCTGGGCCTCGAGCTGGGTGCGTGCTCCCACGGCCGCCCATGGCGCAGCTCCGGGAGGCCCGCACGCGGCCCGCGAGTCCCCACCGCGAGGCGGTTCACAGCTGTCCCCTTGCTCACGACGGATTCAAGCGCTGAACCGTTCGGCGAGGCGTTCGCCACACGCCGCGGAGACGCCTGCCGGGAGGCAGAGCTGCTGCCGGGAGGGCCCCGGGGGGCGAGCAGCGGGGAAGGGGAAGCAGACCGGCAGACTCGGCCAGGGCAGCGGGGACGGTTCCCGGGCGGCCCCCGCCCCGTCCTAGGGGACCCCAGGGCGGGAGGGGACGTTTGAGCGGTGCCGTCTGCGGGCTGACGGGCCGAGGCCGCCCCCTGCTCCATCCCCGCACGCCGCGGGGCTCCACCGCCAGGAACCCCCGACGGCAGCGCGGGGACGCACGCGGCAACGCCGCTTTCCCGTCGTTCATTCGGTCCCAGAGAAGCCCCAATAAATAGTTCCCGCCGCCGCGCCTCCCCTCCTGCCCCAAGCCGGCCTCGGGACCGGGCGACCGCGCCGCCGGAAGCCCCGCAGCCCCGGCGCCGCGGCTCAGCCGGAGGGCGGGGCCGAGAGCACAACACGGGGGGCGGGGCCGAGAGCACAACGCGGAGGGGCGGGGCCGAGAGCACATCACGGGGGGGCGTGGCCGAGAGCACACCGCGCGCTGAGGGGCGGGGGCTCCGGCAGCCGGAAGCGCGCGGGGGCGGGGCTCCCGAGCGCGGGCCGCTCAGGGGGCGTGGTTTTCGTCCGCAGCCGTCACGATGACGTCAATCCAAATGCGCATGGCCTCCGGGCTGGGGGCCACCATGTAGAAGAGGCGCTCGTAGGTCTTGACGCAGAAGGTCAGGCGGGGGTTGGGGCTCTGCGGGAGGAGACGGCGCGGCCTCAGCCTTCGGGCTGTCTTCGAACCCGCTCCCTCTTCTCTTTTTTCAAGACAAGATTTCGCTGACTGCCTGCAACTCCGCCAGGCTGGCCTCGAACCCGGAGCCATCTGCCCGGCTCCCCTCAGTGCTGGGACTAACGGGGTGCGCCCCCGTGCCTGGCTTCTACCCGCCCCTCCTTTTGAAAGTGGGTTTGACTGCATAGCTCAGGCTAGCCTCAAACATGCCAGCCTCCTGCCTCCACCTCCTGAGGGCCGGGATTACAGCAGGCCCAGCTGGGGCCCATTCGCTGACCACCAAGTGGTCAGCTTATACCCGGGCAGAAATGTGCCCTTTTGGAAAGAAAAGTAACGTTTGAGAGTTTTTTAAAAAGCCGTGATTCCGATTTGACCTTTAAAACCCGTAGTTGGGGGCTGGAGAGATGGGCTGGCAGGGGCGAGTCTTTGGAAGACCTGGGTTCAGTTCCCAGCACCCACACAGTGTGCACACTCCCCTGTACCTCCATTCTAGAAGGCCCAGCGACCTCCCTGACCTCGCGGCAGAAGACAAATCTATAAGGTGTGTTTAAACAAACAGCTGAGCCGTGGTGGCTCACGCCTTTAATCCCAGCGCTCAGGAGGCAGGGGCAGAGGCAGGGGCATCCCTGCGAGTTCCGGACAGCCAGGGCTACACAGAGAAACCCCGACTCAGGGACCAAGAGCAGACATGGTTGGCTCCCTTCCAAAGAGGGCCCTAAGTGTCAACTGCCGCTTTTCCTTCTGGCCTGGCACTTCGCCCCCTTATAACCCAGCTGGAGATCCTCCTGCCTCAGCCTCCCCCGGGCTGGATTACAAGCTAACTCACACCCCCACCACCACCACGTAGCCCTGGCTGTGCTGGAGCTCAAGCTCAGGGAGATCCCCCTGCCTCGGCCTTCGGCGGGCACTGCTGCGCCCAGGGCGGGGCGGCCACACACTAACGCATGGGCAGCTTGGGCACTCTGCGGTGCTGGCCGGTGGCCACAGGCGTGGCACTGGGCAAGGGTTGTCACCTTGAAGGCACAGCGTAGATGGTCGAGATACACCTCCTCGATGGCCTGGAAGTAGATGACGCCTTTGAGCTTGGTCTCTTCCTTGTCTGGCGGGAAGAACAGGGAAACGGGCCTCGTTAGAGAAAGGTGCGTGCGTGCGTGCGTGCGTGCCCACTCCTGTGTGCGGGAACAGGGTCCCGGGCCGCCCGAGACTGACTGAGGTGAGCGACATTCCGAGGCTGGAGGGACGTGGCAGTCTGTGCAAATGGGCGTGAAGCCATGAGGTCGGCAAAGCTCACAAGCCTCGAGGTGGGCGCAGGAGTCCGGGGTCCCCGGGTCTGGGCCCCAGGGGTAGGCAGGGTACGGGGTCTGGTCGCCGCTTAGGCCAACCAGGTCTTCAGCCGATCTGTTACTGAGTAAGTGGGCTTTGGGGTGTGTCCGGGAGAAGGGGCTGGAGTCTCAGCGGCTCGGCTCACCCTCAAATAGTGGGCCAGCCCTCCCCTCCCCCCTCGCCCGCGTAGTAGGCCAGCCCTGCCCCCACTCCCCTCCCCCCACCCCG